AAAAATACAATAATAGTGGGGGACTTTAACACCCCCCCCGACTGAAATGGACAGATCATCTAAGCAAAAGATCAACAAGGAAATAAAAACTTTAAATGACACACTGGACCAAATGGACTTCACAGACATATTCAGAACATTCTATCCCAAAGCAACGGAATACACATTCTTCTCTAGTGCCCATGGAACATTCTCCAGAATTGATCACATCCTAGGTCACAAATTAGGTCTCAACCGGTACCAAAAGATTGGGATCATTCCCTGCATATTTTCAGACCACAATGCTTTGAAACTAGAACTCAACCACAAGAGGAAACTCGGAAAGAACTCAAATACATGGAGGCTAAAGAGCATCCTACTAAAGAATGAATGGGTCAACCAGGAAATTAAAGAAGAATTAAAAAAATTCATGGAAACCAATAAAAATGAAAACACAACTGTTCAAAATCTTTGGGATACAGCAAAGGCAGTCCTGAGCGGAAGTACATAGCAATACAAGCCTTTCTCAAGAAATAAGAAGGTCTCAAATACGCAACCTAACCCTACACCTAAAGGAGCTGGAGAAAGAACAGCAAATGAAGCCTAAACCCAGCAGGAGAAGAGAAATAATAAAGATCAGAGCAGAAATCAATGAAATAGAAACCAAAAGAACAGTAGAACAGATCAACGAAACTAGGGGCTGGTTCTTTGAAAGAATTAACAAGATTGATAAACCCCTGGCCACACTTATCAAAAAGAAAAATGACCCAAATCAACAAAATTATGAATGAAAGAGAAGAGATCACAACCAACACCAAAGAAATACAAACAATTATAAGAACATACTATGAGCAACTCTATGCCAGCAAATTAGATAACCTGGAAGAAATGGGTGCATTCCTAGAGATGTATCAACTACCAAAATTGAACCAGGAAGAAACAGAAAACCTGAACAGACCTATAACCACTAAGGAAATTGAAGCAGTCATCAAAAATCTCCCAACAAACAAAAGCCCAGGGCCAGATGGCTTCCCAGGGGAATTCCATCAAACACTTAAAGAAGAATTAATACCTGTTCTCCTGAAATTGTTCCAAAAAATAGAAATGGAAGGAAAACTTCCAAACTCATTTTATGAGGCCACCATTACCTTGATCCCAAAACCAGGCAAAGACCCCATCAAAAAGGAAAATTACAGACCAATATCCTTGATGAAAATGGATGCAAAAATTCTCACCAAAATACTAGCCAATAGGATCCAACAGTACATTAAAAGGATTATTCACCACAACCAAGTGGGATTTATCCCTGGGCTGCAAGGCTGGTTCAAAATCCGCAAATCAATCAACGTGATAGAATACCTTGACAAAAGAAAGAACAAGAATCATATGATCCTCTCAATAGATGCAGAAAAAGCATTTGACAAAGTACAGCATCCTTTCTTGGTCAAAACTCTTCAGAGTATAGGGATAGAGGGTACATACCTCAGTATCATAAAAGCCATCTATGAAAAACCTACAGCGAATATTATTCTCAATGGGGAAAAGCTGAGAGCTTTTCCCCTAAGGTCAGGAATGCGGCAGGGATGTCCACTATCACCACTGCTATTCAACATAGTATTAGAAGTCTTAGCCACAGCAATCAGACAACAAAAAGAAATAAAGGCATCCAAATCGGCAAAGAGGAAGTCAAACTCACACTCTTTGCAGATGATATGATACTGTATGTGGAAAACTCAAAAGACTCCACCCCAAAACTGCTAGAACTCATACAGGAATTCAGTAAAGTAGCAGGATATAAAATCAATGCACAGAAATCAGTGGCATTCCTATACACCAACAACAAGACAGAAGAGAGACAAATCAAGGAGTCGATCCCATTTACAATTGCACCCAAAACCATAAGATACCTAGGAATAAATTTAACCAAAGAGGCAAAGGATCTGTACTCAGAAAACTATAAAATACTCATGAAAGAAACTGAAGAAGACACAAAGAAATGGAAAAACGTTCCATGCTCATGGATTGGAAGAACAAACATTGTGAAGATGTCAATGCTACCAAGAGCAATCTACACATTCAATGCAATCCCCATCAAAATACCATCCACTTTTTGCAAAGAAATGGAACAAATAATCCTTAAATTTGTATGGAACCAGAGGAGACCCCGAATAGCCAGAGGAATCTTGAAAAAGAAAAGCAAAGCTGGTGGCATCACAATTCCAGACTTCCAGCTCTATTACAAAGCTGTCATCATCAAGACAGTATGGTACTGGCACAAAAACAGACCCATAGATCAATGGAACAGAATGGAGAGTCCAGAAATGGACCCTCAACTCTATGGTCAACTCATCTTTGACAAAGCAGGAAAGAATGTCCAATGGAAAGAAGACAGTCTCTTCAACAAATGGTGTTGGGAAAACTGCACAGCCACATGCAGAAGAATGAAACTGGACCATTTCCTTACACCACACACAAAAATAGACTCCAAATGGTTGAAAGACCTAAACGTGAGACAGGAGTCCATCCAAATCCTAAAGGAGAACACAGGCAGCAACCTCTTCAACCTCAGCCGCAGCAACTTCTTCCTAGAAACATCACCAAAGGCAAGGGAAGCCAGGGCAGAAATGAACTATTGGGATTTCATCAAGATAAAAAGCTTTTGCACAGCAAAAGAAGCATTCCACAAAACCAAAAGACAACCGACAGAATGGGAGAAAATATTTGCAAATGACATATCAGATAAAGGGCTAGTATCCAAAATCTATAAAGAACTTATCAAAGTCAACACCCAAAGAACAAATCATCCAATCAAGAAATGGGCAGAAGATATGAAGAGACATTTTTCTAAAGAAGACATCCAAATGGCCAACAGACACACGAAAAAGTGCTCAACATCGCTCGGCATCAGGGAAATCCAAATCAAAACCTCAATGAGATACCACCTCACACCCGTCAGAATGGCTAAAATGAACAAGTCAGGAAACGACAGATGTTGGCGGGGATGCAGAGAAAGGGGAAGCCTCCTACACTGTTGGTGGGAATGCAAGCTGGTGCAACCACTCTGGAAAACAGTATGGAGGTTCCTCAAACAGTTGAAAATAGAGCTACCATACGATCCAGCAATTGCACTACTGGGTATTTACCACAAAGATACAAATGCAGGGATCCGAAGGGGTACGTGCACCCCAATGTTTATAGCAGCAATGTCCACAATAGCCAAACTGTGGATAGAGCCAAGATGTCCATCGACAGATGAATGGATAAAGAAGATGTGGTATATATACACAATGGAATATTATGCAGCCATCAAAAGATCTTGGCATTTGCAACAACGTGGATACAACTGGAGGGTGTTATGCTGAGTGAAATAAGTCAATCAGAGAAAGACATGTATCATATGACCTCACTGATATGAGGAATTCTTAATCTCAGGAAACAAACTGAGGGTGCTGGAGTGGTGGGGGGTGGGAGGGATGGGGTGGCTGGGTGATAGACATTGGGGAGTGTATGTGCTATGGTAAGCGCTGTGAATTGTACAAGACTGATAAATCACAGATCTGTACTTCTGAAATAAATAATGCAATATACGTTAAGAAAAAAAGAAGAAGAAGAAGATAGCAGGAGGGGAAGAATGAAGGGGAGTAAGTCAGAGGGGGAGACGAACCATTAGAGACGATGGACTCTGAAAAACAAACTGAGGTTTCTAGAGGGGAGGGGGGTGGGGGATGGGTTAGCCTGGTGGTGGGTATTAAAGAGGGCACATTCTGCATGGAGCACTGGGTGTTATGCACAAACAATGAATCATGGAACACTACATCAAAAACTAATGAAGTAATGTATGGTGATTAACATAACAATAAAAAATTATTTTAAAAAAAGCTATTTAATAAATACCAGGGTCATGGAGAGGTTTATTGTGTAATGGAACAACTGCACTCCCACTATTGGCTGAAGGTGGCTTCACGAGCATCATCTCTGTCCACGGGGCTGCCCCCAAGTTCACGCTGCCCAGGCCTCCAAGTTTCCATCTTCTCTTTCCTCTGCCAAGCCATCTTTGTGTGGCTGTGATTAACTCAGAGCTATTACAGCAAGTTCTACTCATGTCCAGGTCCCAACGTCCAAACAGGCCTCAGCCTCCACCATGTTATCAGGTATCTGGGCAACAAGATCCAGCAAGTAAGAATACTCTGCCGAACAGCAGTATCTGAAGCAGATAAAGGCATGACAGCAATCCCTGTCATTAGGGGGGCTCGCACTGGAATTCTCCTGCTGGCCACAAAATGGACTCCTGATGGCCAGCCATCCTTTGCGCAGTCCAAACCGTCATTCAGAGGGGAACGGTTACCACTCCTAGAAAGACAACTCAAGGTCCGATAGAAGAATGCCTGCACTCTACCCGGGCAAACCACACATTCCAGGACTCTGCTTTCTCATCCATGGTGGGACGGCAGGATTCTGAACTCCAAGTGGATAAGGGTCTAGGAAACACATCTTCACTAGCTCATGAGCTAACCAAATACTGTTCATTGCCCATAGTTTTGCATGGGTTTCACCATTATGGGTACCAAACATCATTTAACACTTGATATAAAAATAATGCGTGCATCAGACTATTGTTTAAAATGATTCATCCCTCCCCCCAACACCTCCTTGGGAGCATGAGTCCCTGCCCTTGGACTTGGCTTTGGCCCTGTGGCTTCCGTTGGCCAGTAGTACACAGCCTGAAGAGACGACGTGCCACTACTGAAGCTAGTCCCCGAGAAGCTGAGCCTATTTCTAGTTGCCCTCTTGCCATCTACACTTGCTACTAAGAAGCAGATCTCCTTTGTACCTGCTGCTTCTTCACCTGTACCCCAGAATAGACACACGGAACAAAATTGCCCAGCTGACCCACAAGCAAGACTAAATAATGGTGTTTTAAGCCACTGGGTCTGGGGGTGGTTTATTGTAGGCACCATTTTGTCAACAGTTGAGTGACATGTGCTATCCTCTCCCCAGATGCAAAAGCATCAGGTACTCACCATCATCGATTCCAGGCCAGCCCATGAAGTGAGCAGAAATCTGTTTCTCATCCTTCCCATACTCATTCTTGGCTACTAACTTGTAGTCCCCATTGTTCATGTGAGTGGGATTATCCAGCTGGAGGCAGCCATGGTACTCCGTGTGATTGGTAACATGGATTTTAGTACAGATGTATTTGGACTCATTCAATATGGCCCCGTTATAGAACCACTGAAGCGCTGGTTTGGGGTTGCCTTTCACAGTGAATGGAATGCACCAGTGGTGGTCTGAGGTTGGAGATTCGAGAAATGTGATAGTTGGAGCAACTAAATTGAAAAAGAGAGAGTTAATAGCACCAGAACACTCAGAATTCTCCCCATCTCCAGATTTCTGTGTATCAATAGGGGATTTTATTCAACAACCATTTGGTTAAGAAAATACAGGACCAGCAACTCTGGAATCCATCAATATTTTGAATCATCATCAAGGCTGATTGAACTCCCTACAGAGAGCTTCAAAGAGACTCCTTTCCCTATACTTAAGACCCATGAATCAGAGTCATTTTTCAAATCTATTCAGTGTGAGAACTGGCTCCAAATAGATCGCAGAGATTTCTGACAGCAGAAGGGGTTCAATTGAAGTCAACTTTGGTTTCGAATAAATACGCCTTGATATTATGTAGATTCATCACCAAAATGCTGAGGGCCACTGTTTTTAATTTACGGTCCTTCATTAAACAACACAAATATTGACAAAAGTGACTTTGGAAATCTTGCTGGAAGCCTGGATCTCACATCACTTATCTAAAACACATCAAAATGACCAAGGCCGTGAATGCTCCTACCAATGCAGATTGATCATTATAAAGTATGATCAATTGGTACTTTTTGCCGATTGCCAATAGTAAATGCTCTTTAAAAGCATCACATTTCGGGGTGCCTGGGTGGCTCTCAGGTCATGATCTCAGAGTCATGAGATTGAGCCCTGCATTGGACTCTGCACTTAGCAGGGAATCTGCTGAAGATTCTCTCTCTCTCCCTCTGCCCCTCCCCCTGCTCACTCTCTCTCTCTCTCAAATAAATAAATCCCTGAACAACAACAACAACAAAAAAGCATTTCATTACAGCACACTCCATTTTTGCTAGATTTCAGAAGCCAATGTTTTGATCCTTTTTAAATGTCTGGGGTTCTATCCAAACCTAGACAAACAAACTAGAGATTACTTAAACTTTAAAAATAAAGCACTTTATGCTTTGGGGAAACAAACACTTAAATAGCATCTTTAAACAGAGTACTTATCCCGAGAGAAGGTATTTAAAGTCCCTCATAATTGTTTATTTTAATGTGGTCTGACTTTGATAACGACACAATCGACGACTGCAAAATACCCCAGAGACCTAATAGCATTGTTTTTCAGGTCAGGAAACCCAAGTCCAGTGAGGTTAAATGACTTGATCAAGTCTAGTGAGCAAGGCAGATCTGGAACAGGGATCCAGGTCTCCTGATCTCTAACCCAGAAGCCCTTCCCTCCTGACCCTGCTTCCTGTTATACGTGTTCATTACACAAATTGGGGGGTGGGATTGGGGGGGGAATTACAGCCTGCTAACAAATACATTTTGGCCGGAGTCACTACCAAAGCTATCTCAGTTGTTAAAACTCTTTACCATTTATTCCTTTTATTCTTTATCTGGATTTTGATAGATAAGGTCAATTCTTCAGACCATGGCGGCCACCATAGATATTAAGTGAGAAGATTTTGAATTTGAGCGTCCTGATTTGTAGGTCTGTGTTACAAATACAAGGACCCCAGTGGGGTAGGGACAAAACTTACCTTCCTCCCACCAGCCCAGGCCCCCATGCCCAGGACCCACTTAATCCTTCCACCATGCTCAAAAGAGCTTTTGGTGATGTGTTGACTTAAGGACATAAAGTTGGAAGCTGGTTGCATATGTTTGGGGATAACATTGATTTCAGGCTTCTGGGTGTCTCGAAATGATGAGAAATTTTAAGTCCAGTACCTACTGGGCACAGAGGTAGTGCTGACAGTGACAAAGGATTACAGTTGGTGACTGCAGTCATGCACCCCGACAATCGCATACGGAATGTGTGCCGCAGGTGAACACTAACCAGCATATCGACACCATGTGTCTACATGTGTGTAATGTGTATTCATACATACACATGTGCCCGCTTGTGGTTTTCTCACCCACATCCTGACCCAGACACAGTAAAACCTCATTAATTTATACCATACCAGCTCAGAATTCGGAATGATGCGCAAAGTATAAGGGATTTTTACTGAATACACATTTGCATGGAACGCTACAACCTGGAATGTTAAGATATGTGTTGTGTTATTTATAATACTGGAAAATAATGCACATACGCTTAAGAAGCTTTAATAGCCTGTATCTTCATTTCAATATATACAGAAATTTAAACCGTTATAATAAAAGTTTTCTGCAGGTGATCATAATTTTCGATCATTTAAGTAGTACTCCACCAACCTTCCCACAGAAACCTGATGTCAAGCTAATGAGGTTTTATTGCATCAGTGGCACACTTGGGTGTTTGTGAATAGCCAGCCCAGTACTTTAGGTGACATAACTTTAAATCTTCATAGTGCTTTTATAGAGAAAAAGATTTTAGAAACTGGTTTATCAGAATTTAAACGAAAACTGATTAACAAAAGGATCTAAAAACCAGATCAAGATGGGTTCTCTCAAAAAAAAAAAAAAAAGCAGAAGGCACAAGAAGACAAGCTTAAGATCAAAAAGACAGCTTAAAAGGACGACACGCATGTGTAAGAGAGATTCGCAGAAATAGAACACTGATATTTCTTGAAAAAATATACACAAAACACTGCACACACTTTTTTTTCTTGACACACTTAAGCAGCACCCAGAGGGCCACAATGACAAATGCACGTGTGTCCACGATCATTCGCTATTAGAAACATATGCCCGTCTGATTACGTACAATGTACAGTGAGGTTCACAGAATCTTGGTCTTCTCCTACAAGATTTTCTGCCACACAGGAGATTTGCTTTCCACTGTCATCAGATGAAATGTTAGTTATCCTTAAGGAGCCCTGTGTGTGGCTTGTTTCATTCTACAAATGAATTAACAGACAAAAATAATCCTTATTAGGGCTGATCCCAAAGTGACAAGATTTGGGGTTTCTCCCCCTAACTAAAGAAAAAAATACACACCATTAGGAAGTTTTCTGGCCTTAATTGGGGCCAGGCACAAGAGTAAGGCCAAAGCTATTCTATTTCTCTAGAATATAACTGTTTAATGCGCAAAATTGATTTAATCCTTGGATTCCTATCTACGTTTCTCCAAGGGAAAAGACCATAAGAAGCATCCCTCGCCTTGCTCACAAGGACACAAGCAGCTCACTAGACACCCAGAGACTCTAATCTATTGGATATACACAACTAAAATGCAAACCTGCATTCTTCTTTGTTAATTATAAGAATTAATAGAAAGTAAATGTATATCAAAAACTCATCATAAATGTCTCCGTATGGCCCTACAAAATATTAAATGATCATCACTAGATGAATACAATCTCAAGTTCTGAGACACTCTCGTCTCTCTAGGAACACAGAGCCAAACAAAAGCCTTACCATATGTTTTGAAACCAGATTACCGACATCCCAGTACAAATTCGGAACTGGATCGCCTGCAACGCTACAAGATAATGTGATAGACTTTCCCTCCTCCACAGTGAGGTTGGGTGCAGCCAAATTTGCTGATGGCAAACCTGTGGAACAAGAAAAGTAAGTGGAGACATATACAAATAGTTCGATTCATTATCAAAATAATCGCAACAAACTGGAAACTCCTCAAGCTTTAGAATCAGTAATGATTTAATTTCCGAGACAGATTTATGTTGATCTGAAAAAGTGCTGGGTTGGTAAGCTTTACAGATTTAATGTGAACCAAAAATGTGTGGTTGTAAGAGCTGAAAACAAATTTTGCATGTTTCTTAAAAATATTATTGCAGAATAACTTTTTACTTTAAAAAAACTAATTTATAAAACTAGGTCCTCTATCTCTCTCAGGGTTTTACAGTTGCTAATCCAGTTTTTTTCCACATAAACAGGTTTCTGTAGACCACCTTACCTTGTTGATTTCCCCATTGTCCCCTTCATTTTTTATAGTCAAAAACAAAAATGTGAGAGGCATCTACATTTTTTGCATAAATCCTCTTTTTACATTAAGTAACTCATAAATATAACCCCACCACCAGACCTAGATTTTGACATAGGTTACCGAAGAAAATGTAGCTTTTTGGGTTGTTTTTGTTTTGGGGGGGCAGAGGGAGAGGGAGAGAGAGACTCTTAAGCACTTTCCACCCTCAGTGCAGAGCCCAACGCAGGGCTCGATCTTAAGACCCTGAGATCAGGACCCGAGCTCAAACCAAGTATGGGATGCTTAACCGACTAAGCCAACCAGGCACCCCAAGAAAATGCAGTTTTAAAGCATTCTTCACACATGAAGCTGGACCATCACAATATTAGAATGTTCCAAAGCTATATAAGTCATAGTTAAATATCATAGGAAAAATGGATTATTGTAAAATTTCCAGTATGATAAAAAAAAGTCATGTGGATCTATACTTCCACATTTCAAGAGCTTTATTGATGCCATTATCACGTCATTAAACCATCACACCTACTGGGTGTTTACACTGCCTTAAATCACATGGGACTCACAGTATTTTCTGCATGAAGGCGCATCCCAGAGAGCATAACAGCAGATATGTCAGGTCCTGCCTTGTCAAGCTTGTCCCTCACTGGGTATCAGAAACTCTGCCCCGGAGCTGCATTTACCCCGACAGCTGTGTCCCAAGGACCTACGACACCTCATTAACTCAGGAGTAAGCCAGAGGTCAGAAAAGGCAATTCATCTTCAGTACACATTACATTGCAATTAAAACACCCACCTAGCACTCTCTGACCCACTGTCTCCACAGAACTCTCCTATGATGCAGGCCTTACTGACAAAGCCTTTCTTCTTTATTACCCAAAGCGGCCTGGAACAAGATTTCTCCAGGGTTCATCTCATGGTGTCCCCACCATCCACAGAGGACTTCCCAACCAGACCTGGCTTTCAGTGGCCAGTGAGCCTCTTCAGAACCCTTCCTGTCAGCAACCCATAGGAAGCCTTGTTCTACCTTACACAGGGTTTCAAAAATGCTCCCTAAGACTCTGAGTTTCATACTCGCAGGTTTTCAATCTGTCATGTTTTTAGCTTCCAAGGCTCTTCTTTTGTTCCTGAACGGTCTTCTATTTGTATAGCACCCTGTTTTTGTCTCCTGGGTGCAACATCTCCTGATCTATTTGAGCTATTAATCATTTCTTTTGAATTTTTCTTCTCTCCATATCAACACTGTTTCTGGCAACTTGTTTTTTGTCATCTTTTTGTTTGTTTGGTATTTCTCTCTCATTGTAAGCTTTTCTCAAAGAGTGGGTATCGTCGGCCGTTCACACATCTTTAAGAACAAGGTACTAGAAGCATTGTGCATTTAACTGTTGCTTTTGGTGTAGGGCAATATTCTTGGCCTTTTCTGGGTACCACCTTTTGCCAATATCATCAGATCATTTTGGGACAGGGTGTGGTCCGATTATTATTATTATAATACTCTTCCAATGTCCTACCCGGAAGAGGAAGAAGGATGGAAATATTGATATTCATATGTAAATCCATCATTTTCTCTATGGTTCTCACAGCCTCAACTCTTTCTGGAGTTCCTCATAATATTGGTTTGATCCTCTTTAGAGAATAAACCTCCAGTTTTCTGCTGAGGAGGGAGGGGTGCAGTCACCTGGAATGTATGGAATGAAAATGGGATTAACTGCTCCATCAGGGACTTGACCCACTCTCTTGGGTTTGGTGCTGCCTGCATACCTGCTTCTTCCTGGGCCTGGTAACAGCCCTGCGTCCCAAACCAATTTCCTCTTGCCTTTGCCCTCTGCCAACCTGGTAATCAGCATTCTCAGCCATTAGCTCGGTTTCTGTTCCTCTGTCTGCTTTCTAGCTTGCAACCGTTTGTGTCCTGTTGACTCCTCTCCCATTTTCTTGTGCTTAGAGATTTATCTGCTGATTCTGGAGGGATCACAGAGCCAGGGCCTGCCCTGGTGCTTGTCATCAAGGTATGACTTCCTCCACCAACAAAGCTTGGAGACACCCCTCTTGGCACCCTGAATACAAACTACAGGATGAATTTCCTACTTACTATAAATTCATATAATAGTTTGGAAATTCTGAGCAGAAAAAAAGGTTAAAATAGAGATTCCCAATAGAGAATGCTATGTCATAATCTCCATTTCCCTAAAAAAATTTAATGTAGTCTCTTTCATCAAGCCTAAATTTATATAAACAATTCTAAAAAATGCGTGTTTAATTACATTAATAGTAGTATTATTTACTGGGCATTCACTGAACCAGAAACTCTTTTCCAGGACTTTAAATGATTGGTTTATGTAATCCTTACAACCATCACAAAGTTAAGTGTTTGTCCTTATCTAATTAAGGAAGACTGTGTGTTCTGGAAAAGTCTAATACATCTTCCAAAATTGCCCACATACCTGTAGACCTAGGATTCGAACCCAAAGTTCGCGGTCTTCACTGCTACACTATACTTCCTTCCCAGACTGCATATATCCATTTTAGCACAGAACATAAATACCAATATGTATCTACAACCTAAGAGTTTAGTTCATTTAGAAAATAATTACGTGTCTATTTGTGAAGGAAGAATGAGTCTCTCTTATTTATAGACAAATTGTATCACCCTGTCACAGCAGTTCTCCAAAGGAATCTGTGCAAAATTGGCCAAGTCTAGATCTTTTAGATGTAAAGTCTTCCACAAATGAGTAAGCATCTGACTCACGTTAATTCTAAAGCATTAATAGGCTGGCCAAAGATTCAATAATGGAAAAAACAATCTGTACTTGAAATATCACTTGAGGTTTAATTAGCACAATAAAAATGAAATGGGATGCATGAACAGCCAAGCAGGATAAACCATTTGCCAGGCACTACTTCCTGGCTTAATAAGATTTGAAATCAGCACAAGTACAGAGCAAAGCTCAGCAATGCTTCCAAGAGCTTCTAGCCCTATTGTCATGGGATCCTGATTTAAGCTTCCGAGCGTTCTTCCTCTGCACTCTGAGAAACCTCACTGGAGATAAGAGGTGACCAGCCACCCAGGCAGACGGACACCTCTATGTCGATGTCCTGGATGTGTTCAGAAAGGACATACCAGCCTGCGGACCAATCGCTCATTAGGTTTTTTTTGTCTACGACTATTATTCTTAAACTCGGCAGGGGCTTGAGCTATCATCTCGTCCACAGAGCTCTCCCCAAAGTGTGTTCTGTGGAAATCAGACTCCTTGAGACACTTGGTGGGGAAGAGGGGGGGGATCTAATACTTAAAAAAAATAAGAGCCTATAGGAACTTCCGTAACTCTGGATGTTCACTATGCACATCACATATTAAAAGCTCCCAGAAGTGCTGCTCTAAAGGAATCAGTTCACTTCCATGGATCTTATATTCCCCAAGCTTTTTTGACTACACCCTTTCCCTGTAGTATCTTCTTGTTGTGGCTCTGTTATTTTTATTTGAAGTAATTTGACAAAATATATAAGATACACATATTTAAATTTAGATGTAAAATATATTTAAAGCTACATATTCATATCAGTGGTAGTAATAACATTAATAGCTCATGTTTATTGAGTACTTGATATGTGCTAGACCTTATCGGCAATATTCTCCATATTAGCTTATTTGGCATCCTAAAAACTCTTGAAAGTAAGTGTCATTAGGATCCCCATTTCCAGATGAAGTTAAAGCTTATCAAGTACCACAACTGAATAACTAATGAATGGGAGCTGGGCTTGACCCTCATCTTTCTGTCCATGGCCTCAACCAACACATTGACTGGCTGCCTCCTTTATTGGGCTCAGCCCTGCCTCTGCTCCCTTCCATGAGCGCATACTTCCAGACAATTGACTCTGTCTTAGGATCACTAATTTAAAGTATGCAGGTTCTTTCCATTTCTTTATCACCATTCCAAAGGGATAAGGAACACTCGTTTTTAGTACGATATTAGGTAAAAATGAATTTGGTTGACCTATTCCTAAAAACATAAAAAGCAAATCAAGTAGGCAGTGTCTCACTTTCTAATGGTTGAAGAAAACTAACCTCTTATCACTTTGAGTTATTAACTCAGCTTTGCAGTGAGTGAAATGGGTCAGGTCTGGGTTTTATTTTTCACCTGTAAGTAGGGATAATGTTCTTTCCCATCTTGTTTTAGTGATCCCTGAGCTCTGTTCATTTTGTGTTCGATCATCATTCTGTGCATAAAATATTCAAATAAATTATGATTTTTGTCTACTCTCTCCTCTCCTCTCACATTCTCTCTTTTTGGCATATCTTCCACTTTCTCTGTCTCTTAAAGCATATATATTTCACTACCTGGAAAGAAGCCAGAATGAGCCTGACCTATTTAGAAGTAGCTGCTTTACGCCCAGTTACAAAAATGACAGAAAATTAGCAAAGTGACTTTCCAAGCCCAAATTGGAAACTGTGCTTCTATGCTTGTGTGAGCTGTGTCATTACAGTGACAGCAACCAGGAAACTTCTAAATACAAAAACCATGTCAGCAGCTGACAGGTTAGGAAAAAAACAGCTTTATTTGCCATCCTAAAAAGATAAAGGAAAACAATGGTCCACTGTGTGGCTTGCTATAT